CATTTTGTCACAATTACGTTTGTTGTTCGGCATTTCCTTGTCAGGATACGCGTTGATAAATGCTTCGTGAGCGTCAACGAACGATTTCGATAAGAAAGTTACGTTTAAGAGTGAACACGCCATGTTAGAACCTACATCTAATTTCGAGTTATTCTGAAAAGATTTTCGACTTGAATACTAGGCGTCGTGAAACAACAGCGCCTTCAGGATGCATGATCGTACTTCACGTCTCGCTTAACCTCGTCTCTTTTAGTGACGCGCAGTAACCATGGAAACGATGAGCAATGATACAAACGCTGCACGTCTCTGAGGAACGTATTTCTGCGTTCATTCCATGATGTTGAATTCTGTGGTACGCGGTCCTGTAAACGGAAGGCAAATGATTATTTTTCTTTCATCATCGCGGTTCTGATGACGCACGGGCGGGTTTGTTATTGCTGACTTCAGCGGTGGATGGGGGTTGGAGGGGGTGAGATAATGCGAGAGAAAATTCTCTGTGAGTAACAACACATCATCCCTCTCCGCCTTCTGCTTTGTGTCTGTTTTGTCATTCCAGCGCGTTTCCCTGTTCGCATAAATAAGTGTAGCTCTGCTGATAAACGGAATATTTACCCCAGCGCCAAACCCAATACAAAATAATGTCACGCGGAATATAACACGGAAAACGTGAATTTTAAACGAAAATATTTTCTTACACCCGGTGGTTGCGTTTATGCGAGTCGTCGCGTATGTAAAAAACGCCAGTCCTGTTCGGTCTCTTAGTGCCGCGGTCCGATACCTTGTCACGTAGATGTCGCCACTGATCGCAGATTCCGATGACGACAGCAAAACCTAAATTAAATGAAGGTTTCATCAAACCGATGGTTGGGTTAATGGAAGAGTATTATAAGGGGTGAGTGAGCCGGGGGTTGAGTTGCAAGGGACAATTATCGTTCGTCTGCCGGGTGCAAAATGATCAGGCTTCATTTCACTTGTCATGACGGCTGTAATCGTTTGGGAAACTGCGCGTGGCTGGAGTGTTCATTTTTAAGCCCGCTCTGATCGGAAATGTTTAGGCTGGCTCTAATCTCGTTTGTGCTGAAATGCAATGGAAGAACGATGTAATTTTTCGTTGGAGTGGTCTAGATTTTCTGCGTCCTTCACGAGACACAACCGGCGGTGCCCGAATTTATAACTTGTGTTGGGCAAGACCGTGGTCTAGGCAACACGGAGTTTTCCTCCGTGGCATCCCAACAATTACTCCATTCACACACACAGAAGAAGGCAATGGCAAACCACTTCTGGATCATCTGCCAAGAACGTATATGAACAGGTCCCAGTCCGAGAAAAGGATGGAAGGATCCTGTTCATATGGACCTGTCGTCAGACAGAACACTAAATAATAAAAAAAAAATATTCCCTTTATGGAATCTTGTCAGTCCTCTATTTCCTTCAGTATCTTTTCTCAGACGGTTTCAGCGACCGAGTTTCAGGCCTGCTGAAACAAGAAGCCATCGAATTTGTCGAGGTCCTACGTTCAGTTTATATCTGTCTTGTAAAGCGTGGACCAGACGCTAAGGGTCACTGCTTTAACTGGAGAAGGATACGCCTGGATTCGAAGCACGGACTTAAAATGGCGGTAATCGAATTTGTGTGTCCGGATAATTGCTTTCGTAATCGAATGATCGTTTCTGGTTTATTGAGAGGTTATCGACAGCCGAGCTCTGTCCGTCCGTATTTAACAAATAATGGCGTGCGTTAATTGCATATCCCATCGGCGGTCAAACACTTTTTTTTTTTTAGTGTTGTTCGCTAAAAAATTATGTTAAACTGCAAAACGTTTCACGCGGTTTTGAAATTATAAACGTGAAATTAGTCAGAGCACACGCTTTATTTTGGAATGTAAAAATTCACAACGTAATTGAGAGAAATATAACGTCATGTGTTTTTAAAACTCCTGATTCCTCTAGTTGCTGTAACAGTGAACTGCGCCACGAATGTCGTATTAAACTTTTATTTACTTTATTCAATGTGATTAAGTTTCATCAACTACAGGTTGTTCCAAAGAGATGAATATACATTATAATCATGAACATTAAACTTGTGTGTATACATCTTTTTTGGGGCTGTCTATAAGGACGTAAAAGACCGTGGTATTTTATGAAGTAAAGTATCTTTTAGGAAAACATTTTATTGTGGTTTTTTAAAGTAAATTTAAATCTACCGTCACGTTTTACGCAACTAATTAATAACAAGTTGTTAAATGCTAACCAGTCTTACACTAACTTGTATTTTCAAATTAACTCAACTTGAATAAACGGAAATTTCACAATTTTTATGTTTCGTGTGATTATGACAATGAACAACTATTATTTATTTAATCGATATTGACCATATTATCGTTGTCATAGAGCAGTGTCGTGTTTTGTTTGAGGTACGAACTGAATTTTGAAGAATCATCGCATCTCTCGTGGTAGTAACTGAACCTTTGTGACTCAGTCAATTTAGTTAGCCGTCACTTGTCATGTCGATGCATTCCACTCTCTTGATTTCTTCCTTGATTTGTGACTCCACTTAAGAAAGTTGTGTGTGGTTTACGGGTTTCATTTATTTTTTTAATAAAGTAATAAGTTTTATTTCATTTCGAGAATGACAGGAATATCTAGTCATAAATCTTATCCCATAAAACCCAAAGTTGTTTAACAGCATTACCATGGTAACTATTATATAATAACATTAAAAATATCATAAATAGCTCCAAAATCCGTCAACGAGCGAATGTACCGACCAACACCTTTTAAGTACGTGCATTGTATGAGTCTTTATACTCAAACTCATGGGTCCAATACCCTCATGACTGTAAAGGGATATGAGGTTACTTGGGAGAACCACGAATGGGTGTATCTCCAACCTCGCTTCATGGTAGACCTCCCACGTCATGTTACAGATTCAGTTCCTTGATTTAGTTCGTCTTTTTACCAACAGATGTCACTATGTGAGGAGGGACTGATTAAAAACACGTAGATCGTATTGCACTTGTTTGTGGCGGCGAAGTTCTCTCATTAATTAAAATTAATTTAGTTCAGGAAAAGCCATTAGCGAGACATTAATGAAACTCCTCTGTCCCTAATTGTGCTGTCTTCTAATTCATACACGTTAAAAAATGGATAGAAGAATTTGTTTCGGTTTGTTTTAAGTTAAATTACGCCAAGTAACTAGGTAAATTAATGTAATTGAGTAGATACCGTGCGTTTATGAATAGTCAAGACGTATTTTATTTAGAATCGTAGCCTAATATTGATTGTCGTTTCTTACATTCAGGTTTCTGACTAAATTGTCTTATGATTTTATCACTAATGCGTGATACATGTCTCACACATCACACCTCATTGTCCTTAATCTGATCACGCTAATAATATTGGCTGAAGAGTCTACAGATTTATTTGAATCCCACTTATTATATGGTTTTCTCCAGACTCCTCTTAATTTCTCTCGCTGACGTTCAGAGGGCGTTGTAAATACAGGGAAGTTTTTTTTTTTGAAAAAAAAACCCCGCGGCGCATTCAATAAATTGGACGAATATATTGCACTCTCTTGCTTTTTAGTTAGGAAACTCTGAAGTTTATATCCCCGTAAATAAAACTCTTTGACTTTTCTGTTATTGCCACCTGCAGTTACTGGATATTTTCTCTGCCTTTGGAAAGACTCCGTGGACGTTCGTAAATGGTAAAGGTATAATTCTGTTGACATCTTCAGAGAACGAGATGGTACCAAGGTACCGAAGGACATTTAAAAACCAACACTCACACGGGGACTGTTACGAAATCGTTGAAACGATGGGTTGCAATGAAAGAACATTTCCCATCAACCAGTTCGCATTTGTGATGTGACAATCAAGCAGCGCTCTGTGCCCAGTTGTTTATCGTGGTCATGACATTTATTGAAGGGATGTGCCCCGCGTGGTATTGGATTGAGCTGCAGCAGCAATTTCCTTTATGATCCACAGCGTCTCTGTAGCCCATCCATAAGCTCGGGGCTCAGCGGGGAACCATTAGCGTCCAGACATCCATCACTAGAGGATCAGTCCACTCAGAAGGAAAATCCCGCGGTCACTACGAATTGTACTGAAACGTCTCAGTAGATTCCAAGAAATGGATTGACACCCCTTCTTGGATTCTGCGGAAAGCGTTTAAGTTTCCATTAACTAATCTTGAAGTACTGAGCGTGGCTTGTCATTTCCTGTCTAATTCAAGTTGAGAGATTTACGCTTTTGTGTTGTTTCTTGGAATCTCGTGTGGAAGTTTTCCGCCCTCCCATTTCACGTGACAACTCAGACCGTCCGGTCTGTTCTGATTCAGAATTGACTCTGAAATTATTGGTCCATTTGATTTAATATTTCAATTAATCTGATGTTTTCTGACCGCCTAACGCCGGGGTTTTGCGACCACGGGTCTAATGTAACTTTTATTCTTATAATTATACATCTTCCCCCTCTTCACTGCTTCCAGTCACGTGTTTCTGATTTTATTCTCCAATTTACGTATAATTTTATACAAATATTTTCATATATTTCTTAATTCAGGGCAGTCTATTATTCGCCTCGGTGTCTTATCTGGCAATATTATTCAACGTTTGGAGTCGCTTAAAATTATTTGAAGTCAGGTACCGTAGTGATTTAGGTCTGATAAAATTACTGACGGAACGGGATACGATTTTGGGGAAAGGCATCCCATAATCGGACGAAAATCTCAAAATAACATAAATCAATATAACTTTTACGAGATATTTTATACACAGAAATTATTAATACAAAATTATAAAAAAATACACATTGCATGTCACATATTATAAATTAATAAACGGGGACATTTTAAAATTATCGTGAAAATCTGCCTCGTTTCATCTTTGTACATTACATGTGTTGGTACACCCGTGACACTTTTAATCTTGCATCGTTTGATGAATGATTGTAATGGGAGTAGTGCTACGTCGAAAATTAACATTAATTTTTATTTTTCCAGCTTGATCATGAGGCAATTACTTCACCTGACTATGTCTACAAGCCACGGACATCACACAGTCACCATTATCACCAGCAAAAGTACAACAAACATCACCACCCACCAAAAGCAAACAGAACGTCGAATCAGCATTCGACCGATACCCCGCATTCATCGGACTCGTCTTCACCCACTACTGCGTCAGTCAACAATACCAAGAAGAACACTACAATACGTTACCTTGGCAACGGCGAAACAGAAGGAGAAGCGGGAGGGAAATATGAGGAGTTGCATCGATCTTCCACTACTAGTACCACAGCGCTACTGTCGTCATCGAATGGTACCGGCCATCAGCATGTCTGTCTCGCTCCTGAAACACACCAGTCAGCAGCAGGGGCAGGGCAAACCAGTGGTTCGCGGTCAGCCACACGGAATGGTTGCTGTAACCTAAACACTGCCATCGCAGGTGCTACAGACGGTAACAGCGAAGTGATAAAACATCATCAGAGTCACGAAACAGCGGTGACAGGCGTCTCAAAGAACGCCTGTCTCACAGCCATGAACGGAGGCGCGGAATATTCTAGTGACAGACATAACCATAAGCATTTGAAGACTCACGTGGTCACGTCAAATGGCAAACTGACAGATACTTCGCGGATTCCACACCAGACGACTGTCGTATACAACGGAAAACAGTCTTCAACTATGCTCACATCTGCATTTCACTCACAGCAAAGATTAACAGCTAAAAATTTGGTTGGTGATACACCGATGATCTCTAACGGTGGTTTAAATGTAATTGCTAATAAGATATCGTCAAAAGGACCTTCAAATTCGGTCACGTTACAATCATTTCAGTCTCAGAAGTCGTGTGTAGCGAATGGGACAGTGAACTCCGGTTCTGATCTGAGTGGGTACGGAAGACTCCAGTCGCCCGCTCTCCTCTCGAAGCAGTGTCCAAGAATTAATCATTACAGCGGAAGTTCTTCAGTTGTTGACTTCCTTTATGGCGGCTTAGATACTCGTTCGGCGGGAACTTCGTCACCGACCCTGCTTTTTGGTCCCTCGGTTGGAACAGGAGCTCCTGGCACCAGTCACTACTCTGAGTCCAAATATGCGTACTCAGTCAGCGGAGTTCCAGGTACTCCAGCCCAGTCGTCTGCCGCTGCTGCATTCTTCGCAAGGTGAGTACCACATTTCATCTCATTTCAATGCTGTCCGGCCTGTGGTATTAGCCTATTTGAGGCTATCGTTCGTTTCAATAGGTTATCTGACGTATTACACCAACACGTTAGGGCTGATTAAATGTTTACACAGAGTAACACTCGTAGAAACGTGAATATTAAAATGTCGTCATCAGGTCTTAGCGATTAGGTCTGTCGTAAGGATTCTCGGCGCTACAACCCAGAAGACAGGAATAATTTTGTCTGTTAATTTGTATGGGTGTGAAGCTTTGTCTGTCTTTTCCCTTGGGAGATCCAGGCGTGGATAAGAAAACTTTTACTAAAATGAATCTTAAAGGAATTTGATTGTGAGAACGTGCGTTGGATTCGTGGACCTCGAGGTTCAGGGGTGGCAAACCTGCTTCGTCTTTTGGGGATGTTCTGAAACAGCGATTTCGTGGTTTTCCCCCTCAGCTCGTCTAGGCAACTGCCGGGCCATTGCCTCAAATTAGGTCACCGATTTGAATAAAATTTGACGTTCTTATTCTCTAAGAGATTTGAGCAAGGTCAGAGCTCTCGAAAATTTCGTGAGTTCGAAAAATCTCTGACGGAAGTTGCTGCATACTGGAAACTATTGGAAATTAAGCGCGATTGATGAACGGTGGCTAGACGAAACTTTTTATTTCGCCGACAATATTACCTAACCCAGTGGTTTTCAACCTGGGGTACGCGTACCCCCTGGGGTACGCGAATACATCTTAGGGGGCACGTGAAATTTAAAAAAATATTATTTTATGGTAAACACTGAATAATCAGTAATGTAATTTATTTAATTTATTTTAGATGTAGATTATATACTATGTATAACTTGAATTATAACCAACAACTTTGGGGGTACAAAGTTGAAGAGAAATTATATCTGGGGGTACGCGAACAAAAAAGGTTGAATCCCACTGACCTAACCTAACCTAACCCTACCTAACCTCATCCATAACCTAACCTAACCTAACCTAACACATTTCTTATTCCCTCCGTAAACTGATAATCGAATATTCATAATTTCATCATTATTTCGCCATTGTGTGTTCTTTTTCTCGCCATTGTTTTCCGGGTGAATAATCTTGAAGATACAAACGTTCATTATCTACAGCCTCCGTCCTGTTTTTGGTACGGCTTGGGAAACAGAGAATTCTAATGACATACGTTCCCCAAACGGTGAGCAGTTAAGGACATTCGAGGTTCAATCTCGGCTATTGAGTTTTATATACGTCATAACAAAAGGCTTTTCCTCTATTTAATTTCGGCAGACTCAGAAATCCCGCAGCATGCAACAGTTTTACGTTGTGACTTTTTGCCTCTGTATATGTAATTTAATTTTAAAACAGCTGCGTATCTCGAAGCGGTATTACACTTGCTCGGGAACGTGCTACGTTTGTTAATTCTAAGTGGGACGTCGCCGTAGGGCTCTCACTTACAGTGATGGGCTAATGCGAGAGAGAAGGGATGTTGCGTGGTTTATATGATTGCTCCAGGTACGAGATTTCGGATTTATTACTTGCAGATAAAAGCAGGAAAATCGCGAAAATTAAAAAAAAAAATGGTGTCGTAGTTTCGAAGCGTTAAATGCTGTCCTTTAAAATTTTTTAATTAGTCTTACTCTTTATCACACCAATTAAAATCTGAAGAGCAAATGATGCTTTAATAACACATTTTTATACCTTGTGTAGACGTTGCTTTGAATGAAGTCATGAATTGTGTTTATCTACTTTATCTACTTTAATTTTCATCTCTGTGATATAATTCCAGATTAAAGCAGACAATTTTCTGGTTTATATTCGGTAATACGAAGTTAAATGAACGTTGCAGAATCCACCAAAAAGTGTCTTAAAAGATGAAACGCCTTCTGAGCTCCTGTACTATTTCAGAACACTTGGCTTAATAAAAATTATTTTGGGTCTTGGTATGTTTTATTTTAAAGGGGATTTGTATTATTTTTCCGTTCAATATTTTTGCAAGTTACAAACTACTAGTCTCAAAATACTGTTATTTTTCTGGGTAACAAGCCTGCCCTCTGTGTATACTTTATTTAATGACGCTGCATTAATCGCATAAGTTACATACTGTTAATGACTAGGGAATTGATAAGTTTTTTTTTTTTTAAAAAAAAGGCCTGGCCTACTTTAACCTATAATCTCAGAGTGAATAAGTAATAACCTTGTTTTTATCCTGGTTAATTAATCCTTTGAAGCCGATGCTTGTCTAAATATTATTTAAGAATTCAGTCCGTACCTCAAAGAAAACGCTTCACCATTACAAATATGAATTAGTTAATGCTGGAAATAATCACGGTTTATTCTGAGAATCACACGAAATCGATAAGTAGGAAAATTCATAGATATTGATTGTCGAAGCAGGTGTTACATATAGTTAACACTAGTCACTAGTTAATTGTAGCAGTTTCAAGGTAAGAATGTGAAAGTTTTTGGAATACCCTGTTACAGTTGTCTGAGGCGATACTAATTATGTTACCTTTTTTTAGAATATTCAGACGTGAGTCATACATTTAAATGTTTTTTGTTTTTTTTGTTACAAATTCTTCCAGCATTGGCCAGCTTTTAACACGGATTAAACGTGTAATGTGTTGAAGGAGTATAGACACAGCTGACTGAAAACACGCCTAACTCATAATACGTGCAACTACGGAAAAAAAATTGTTCCTGAAACATGTCCCCCTCCTTAATATGACTTTCTGTTCTATCTTTGTACTGGTCACTTGCGTAATTAATAACCGGTTGGGCCTAGTTTGTCAGGTGCATATTACGCTCGAGGTTAATGTTCTGTTTATGAGTTGCTGTTAAACATAATCGGCCTAATGATGAAAAGAATATTAGTTATCACGAAACTAATTTCTTTTATTCGCACTGGGAAACTGCAATTAAGGGCGCGTAACTTGTAATTATTAATCAGATGTATGTGGTGCATTGATGATAATGAAAAAGATAATTGGGTTGAATGCGAGTTAATTTATATGCGTGCTGATACATTTATTTAATTAATTAATTTAGAGACATTTCTTCGCGATATTGCATTTAAACACGAGGGGCGATAGATTAGTCTCAACTTACCTGTTGTATAAAGAACTTTCGATTTTAATGACACTAATTTAATTAGCAGTTCACATCCTGTCCTTGGTTCGTATTTTAATAGGCTGTATTCCGATAATAAAATCACTTGTTTCTTGTATCGCTGATTTATTTAAGGTTTATCTACGTGTTGGATTAATCTTGACTCAATCTTTAATGAACTTTATAATCAGCGTAAACAATATCATGGCACTTAACATCTAAAAATTAGCGCTCAGCAAGAAAGAAACACTAAGTTATTGTTACTTAATTTAAGTCAGGACCCCGGAAACGAAAAGGGCGTTATGTTTCATTCCAGTCACCACCAGGAATACGAAAAAAAAATGATCGCTTAGTGCATTAAACCGCAAAAGAATTCCTATCATTAACACAGTGGTGTACATAATCCCCCATCTATTAGGCATTTACATTATAAGGTGTCTTAGCAATCCGTGTAAACGTTTGATTGCACGGAAAGAATCCGCCTTGTCTTATGCAAGCAAGCGTTATCAGTGTGAGTCCTGGGTTCGCGACCGTGATTTCGGGTGAGGGGCGGTGTTACATGCAACAGGTGGAGGCTGCCATCCCCTCCTCCCATCCTACCACCCACCCCCCAGTCTAGTGCTGCGTTCAGTCACTTGTCTGCACTGTAATCAGCGTCCGCCACTAACTGCTTTCTGAGCGTGCCCGATTATTTTTCTGGATATTTTTATTAACTGCTAGTTTATAATTATGCAGATATGACCTCAGGCGATAGGCACTTGTTTATCACGCATGCGTGAGACAGTATTATAAAAATATATGTGGCCACAAGTCCGTGGGGAAAACAATTCCATTTTCTGAGCTGCATTGATGTTTCGACTAAGGGATGACTTTATTCGGAATTATTGTTTCTTTGGGGGTGACTCTGTTTCTGTGGTGTTAATCCGGTCGTTCACACCTCAGATGATAACGCATCAGTGGGATGATATTGACAGTGAAAAAGAAGTTTTTGTATCAGTGTCACATTGGCCTGGGGGTGAACCCGAGCTCCTTCGGTAAAAAGCCGGCCACTTACCTTCTCAGGTACAACAGAACCTTGTCTGGAATTAGATACATTGTATCGTATCACAGGTATTTTTTGACTTAATAGGCGTATGAACATCGATCGTGGTTATGATGGAGGATGCAAGGTCCTCTGAAACGTCGGTGAACTTCTAGCAGCAGTATCACAGAAGACAGCCATTTTTCTACTCGCCTGAAATCTTACTTACAAAGAGTTTTTTTTATAACTTGAACGGAAGATGGCGTTAGTTTAAGTCAGTTTTTCCAAAGCCTTGTACAGACAATGACCGGCCAGAAACACAGTTTGCAAAGACGATAACTTTTCAGAACGGAATTGGCTTATAAATATATATTTTACCTCAGATTTAATACACCTTCTTAGGAATTGGTTTTCCCATGCACGTATCATGGTTCCAAATATTTTTCAATCAGGCGTCCTTAATTAACCATTTGAAGTCGAAAGTCGTCGTCTGAATGATATTTAAGAATTCAGTCCGTACCGCGAAGAAAACACAGCACTTCACCATTAGAAAGATCAACTGGTTAACGCTGTTTAAGGAAATAATCGCTGTTTACAGTGAGAATCATAGTTCGTCTGAATGATATTTAAGAATTCAGTCCGTACCGCGAAGAAAACACAGTACTTCACCATGACAGATATCAAACTGGTTGACGCTGAAGTCGTGGCCAACTTCATGATGCGCTCTCGTACGAGAATAAACTGCATTTACAGTAAAAATCTAAAACAGCTTCATTATGTAGAACAAAGTGAAACACTTGTGGTCATTGCGGCCAAATGATAGCCGATGATCGTGTCTGTTGAGCATGAACACGTTCAGATAATGACGCCGAACA